TAGTCTATATTTGTACACCGAACAAATTAAACATTAATTTAAAGACAAAATATTTTTCATCCCTGACAAAGATATCTTACTGTTCTAACCTAATTGAAACCTAACTTAGTACTGTTTTGTCATAGAACACCTTAACCAGTCAATATAGTACAGAATCCTATGTGAACTTTTTGTGCATACAGTTTCTAAAAATTTTGACAAAACATAAAGTGAAAGCCAGCGCTGTCTTGGAATGCTAGGAATTTTTTTTTTATAATCCCTTGGGTATAATTGTTTAGCCTTCTACAAATTCTTCAATTCATATTATCATGAAGCCGTATTGATAAAATATGAGAAACTACCAGTGCCTCTTGTAATCAACATGGAATTACTATAGTACCTCAATGTATCACTTTTTTTCCCACTGTCCACATACCTGAGTTTCCTTTCCCACAGGCCATAGATTGCATATGACAATTACTTAATCGATATGTGAATAATGGTCCTTATTGAACCATTGACTTCTTTTCTCCCGCGTATTGATGATTGAACCGGGGCCTTCCAATGAGCTACTTCCTCAGCCCTTTTTACCTATTCTGTCTTGAGACAAAATCTTGTTGAACTTGCAATTCCTGCCACAACCACCTGAGTAGCTGGGATTACAGATGTATGCCACTATCAAGCCATTGACTCTTAACATTTGGAACATAGGTGGGTAGGACCCTATTTATTATATTTAGTTATCTGTGAAATATTTCAAACATAAAAATGGTAACAACCCATATATCAGGATTTATTAATACACATGCTTCAGATTATGAATTTAGAGGCAGAGGTTGTATTAAAAGACCCTGTACCTGTTCTTTCAGCCCCAGAGATAGGCTTCTCTCAGATCCTTCTGTCTTGATTTTATTCTTCCTATGTTTGATTTCACAAGCAATCTGTACTACTGTTTGTTTAATGTTCCAACATGATACAGATATACACTGCTGAGGATTTTTTTATTCAATATTGTCTTAGCATACAGATTCGTATTTTCCATGTTGATGTGAATAGATCTAGCTCTTTTATTTAATTGCTTTATAGTTTAATTAAACTGCTGCATTACCAATTTCCTTTGTGATGAATACTTGGATTATTATCAGGTTTTTTTTTTTTCTAAGTATGTATGTACACAGTCCTTTATCTGAAACTCTTCAGGAAAAACTACTATGGAATTCAACTTTCTTTTAGCTTTTAGGAAACAAATATAGTATACACACCCTTATGTAATGTAACATTGTGCACATAAGGACAATACAAGATACATAAAAAAATTTTAAATTTTACACTGTATACATTTGAAATTTGTGGAATAAACAAAACCCACACATTTCATATCTGATCAGTTTTTATCACCTAATTAGTTTGCAAGAAACTTACAAAAAAACTTGGTTTTTCACAACTTTTTTTAATTTCAGAATTATGGATGGTGGATTGTGGCTCTATATGGAAATACTTTGAGGATGTCTGCATATATGCCTGGGAAGTACTACTAGAAATGAAATTCTAGATCACATGGTAGATGCATATTGGTCCTACTGGATGTAACAGAAGGCTATTAAATTGTGTTACCAGTTCATAATCCTGCCAACCAAGTATGAGAGGTCTAGTTTCCCCACAATAATGTATGTACTTTAAACCATCTGTCATCCTGGTGGGAGCACTGTGAACTCATTGTTTTTAAGAGTTACTGATAGGGGGCCTGGCCCTAGCTCAGTCCTTTAAGTGGCTGCTTCCACAAAGCTGTCAGCCTCAGGTTGCTGGAGTTCGAACCTCACAACTCTCCCGCTGGCCAAAAGTGCCCTGAAGGCATTCGAGGGACAAAAAAAAAAAGAGTTACTGATAAAGTCAAACATTTTTTTTCCATGTTTATTGATCATATAGTTTTCCTTGTCATTTGCCTTTGTCCATTTTATTGTTATTTGGGGCCAGGGAGATGGCTCAGTGGAATAAGCGCTTCCCTGGCAAGCGCAAGGGCCTGAGTTCAATCCTCAGTTCCGCCAAAAAATAAATAAATAAATAAATAAATAAAATAAGAATAAAAAAAATAAGGAGGAAGAATTTGTAGTCTGCCCTTGCATGGTAAGATGATGACACACAGAAATAATGCACACACACCTCAAGAACCAGAAAAAAAAAATGTTATTTGATTTAGCAGTTATTTATATGTATTCTTTTTTTCCTCATAATTTTATTGAGAAACAAATAGCAATGAGACAGTTTCAAACCAAATTGGTAGGACAGTTTCAATAATTAACACATTGCATACATTCTTCTTAGTGGTTAATTGCTATACAAGATGTGGACATGATATCCTATTTACAAACACCATTAGAGCAAATCACTCTATTCATTAAGAGAATGTAACTGTATATCTATCCTAACCACTTTGAATACACAGATACAAAATGGACATTGATCTGTATCCTCTTTTTTTGTTTAGTTCCATTATTTGAATATTATAGGTGTGTTAACTCAGCAAATATATGTATTCTTGACGTCAGTCTGTGTTTGCTTTAGGTATCTTCCAGTCTGTGCCATCTTTTAATTTTTTACTTTATAGTGCCTGTGGTACAAAGAATTTTTTTGTTCTAATATAGTTTGTGGTTTGTAGGTTTTGGGAGGTATTTTGGGGTTTATTATAAGAAATCCCTCTTTGCTGGGCATAGCGTGTACTACAAAGTGAGATCCTGACTCTTATCAAAACAAAACTCCTTTAACCCAGGATCATTTATGCATATGTGTATTCTTCAGAAAGTTTGAAAACATTGCTTTTTATATTGAAGAGGTTTTTGTGGGGGTGTTGAGACAGGGTCTTGCTGTATAGTCTAGGCTGAACTTGACCTCACTGTGTAGCCCACACTGGCCTAGAACTTTGGACAATCCTTCTGCTTCAGCTTCCCAAGTGCTGGGATTATAGGAGTGCATCACCACACAGAGCACATTTAGGTTTTAAACAATCCTGAGGTTTTTTGGTGGTGTTAGTAAACTGTCTTCCATACAAACAACAAAATGAACTGTCCACATTTGTTGTACTATATTCTCTTCCTCTTCCTTCCCCTCATCCCTCTTCCTCCCACCTCTTCTTCCTCCTCTTTCTCTTTCTTCAAGGTCCACTCTTTTGCAACTGATTTATGTCACCAAGTTCCCAAAATTCAAAACTGCTTCTGGGATCTCTTTTGGGTCTGGGGATTAGGGTTTGTCTTTGTCCTTTGGTCCCTGACTGCTACTATTATTGTTTTAATTATTATGGCTTTGTAATAAATGTTAATAGCAGTTAGAGCAAATCATCACTCCACATACTTCCCTAGAGTTGTCTTGGCTATGTTTTGTTGACACGTGTCTTGTGTCCACCTTATTGTCCCTGCCACCAACTTTCTCATTTGCTTTATTAAGTCAATAATGCAAATTTACCTCACCGCCTAAATCCAGGCCTTCAGAAAAACCCTAATTCTTGTATCCATCATTATTACTATTCAGTCTTCTGTAGTTATTCATGTTTTTACCCTGATCCAGATGTTCCACATGGTTTTTACCTCTAGCTGTGTTCCTGTATCAGCTTCCACATCCCCATACCCACCCCCCTGTTGTAAAATACCTTGGACGGACTTATCTTACTGAAGTAACCATCTAATCCTGAGACTCTAGTATAGTGATTGCTAGTTACTTTTCAGGGTTACAAGGCTTGCCGAGGCATACTCTGGGTGTCCTTAGATGGCTTAGGTCCTTCTGGTACTCTAGGACATATTTAGAAGCCATAAAGGTCCCAAAAAAGACTAGAGGTGAGCGGAACCAAATTTTGACTCTTGGCCAGCATTGGTAAGTTTGTGGTTATGCTCTGCAGTGCACTTAGTAGAGGAAGATTGCTGACCTTTCTTTCTCTGTAGTCTTGGAGAACTTCATGGTAGAGCCCACCCCTTCCGTGTGGGCTCTACCATGAAGAGACCAAAAGTACCAGGTGGCAGTATTTAGAGACTAATGACAGGACCCTTTAAGGAGGGTTCTGAAGGTACCCTTGGCCAGGCATTGGGAAGCCTTCAGAGTGCTCTGGGGCCTGATGTCTGGAACTATGTTACATTTCCAATTGAGATAGCACTTACTTTTGTTACCCGGAAAACATGTTTACCAAACAAGAGATTCCTGTCTTAGAGGGCCTTTTTCTGAATGGTTTTCAACTCATGTCTCATTTTCTGCTAAGTGACTCTCCTAAGGTGGGACAGTCTGCTTATCATGTGCATGACATGCCTTGCATGCCTTTTCATGTATCATTTTCTTTATATTTTCCTTCATTAAGTCGCATCTTTCTTTTTTAAAGTGATTCTTAGAATCCCTCCATCCAGACTTCCCAGCTCATGCATTGTCAGCCTGCTTCGCCTCATACCACTGTGCATAGCTCCTCAGCTTTGTAATTGTTTACGGTTATGTGTATTGGTTTTTTCATAAATTTTTTCAGGGCTTTTTCATGTCTTATCTGGCCTGTCACTCCTAATTACATTATTTCTCAAGGACAAGGATTATATCTTCCTTGCCCTTTGACTCTTTATAGTACAGACCAGAGCTCAGCACATTGGGTCATAGAACAGAGAGCAAGATTGGCTCGATCTGGGTTGAGTTTATCACTTTCTGTGTGATCTTGAACAAGTTACGTAACCTTTCTGGGTTTCAGTGTCTTATTTAGAGAATGAAGACTGATAGTGTTTTGCTCATAGGGTTATTGACTTAGCAGTGTTTTAGATACAGCAAACACTCACTAAATACTACTTATCAGTATTATTAATATTAGCATTCACATATTAGAAATTCACATATTAGAAACCATGCCAAAATATGTGGCCTAAAGCACCACATACAAATTTTACAGTTCAGCTTGGCTGTCAGTTTAAATCAGTTACATGTTTGTATCAGAAAAATTGTCTTTCCTGACTGAAACACACTTGATTATTTCTGCCTCACTCATTTCCTCTCTCCTCTTCTGATAGGCAGGTCCATGAGATCCAGTCTCACATGGGACATCTGGAGACAGCAGACAAGCAGTCTGTGCACTGTGAGTAATTAACTATGGAGAACAGAGTCCTTTCTCTGATGACACGGTGCTAATGGGCTGGGTTTCCTGACTGCATTCTGCCTTGGGGGCATAATGATTTAGCATGGAATGAGTTTTGTTGTTAGGGTAGAAAGAAAAAACCCTATGGCAGAGTCACTGATTTCCCTGATTTGCCTTTTGGAATCCCACAAGTCTTATCCCCCCATTACCCTTCCACTCAACCTGACATGGCCCTATGGGAATGGAGGTCCTTTTCCCCATCTGTCTTAATCTAATTACCTAGTCTTTAGAGGAATGCACTCCATAAAAACTCAAAGATGTTTAACTGGTACTGGCCATTTTTGAGCTGAGAACTGACTTTTTAGGAGGATTATTCAGAAATGAATAGCAATATTAATTAGTTTAGTTCTCACACCATGATTTCTTTTTAAGAATTTAGGTTGTTTAGTTTTGTTTTATTTTATCCTGTTCCAAGAAAAGGCCCCTTTTTCATTCAGCCATACAGACTTCCAGAGATCTTTTGTCACTTCACTGCCTGGTTCATGCCATGTTTGTTTTTGCATTTTCTCTTTTCTTTTCATAGTTCCAAAAGAATCTCTTGTCTTGCCCCCGTGCCCTATGGCATTCTAGTTTAAACCACATGTGTTCACTGTAGGTATGAAGGCCTGAGAAGGGCAGTGCTACTGTATCACTTCTTAGTGGGGCAAGAAGCAGCCTGGATGCTTTATTTTGTGTGTGGTTCCATTCTTGTCCATTGGACTTTGTTTGCCAGCCCAATAATCTCATTGTTAAATGACTCGAAATGGAAAAGAGTTCATTTTGACTGTCTCATCAAAGGAAATAATGGAAAATGAATGTATTTATCATATCTTCTTATCTGTGGATTCTTTCCTGGGCTGTTCTTAATGATAGTTAGGTTCAGGGAATCCTAACAGCGTAGCCCACTCATTGTAATGGAAAACTTTTAGGGAACACTATTCTGTGTATTTCCATATGAATATTTTTTGAATTTTTAACCTTATATCTGTAGGAATTCAACTGGCATTCCTTTTATTATGTGTTTATAATCAGTATTTGAGGTCAGTCTCAAAGGAAAGAGATTAAAGGTAGAAAATTTGTATAGATTTATTCTTTAGCTTATTAAAACTTGAAATATGTATCATATACACACACAAGGGATGAACAAACACTAGTGAGCATTTAAATTTTTTTTCACTCAAAAGCTTAAAAATAATATTTTATTGAATTATTACATGGAAAATATTCACAGTATATTATTGGGTGATTAAAACTATTTTGCAAAGCAATTATTCACAGTATCTCAGTAACCATCAAATATCTGAAAGAGGGCTGGTAAGATGGCTCAGTGGTCTAAAGCACCTACTTACAACAAGCTTAGCAAAGCACTGGGACCGCGGTTCAATCCCCCAGCACCACATGCCAGCCAGCCCCGCCCCCAGGTGGGCTGAGCTGGCCACACACACACACAAATAAATAAATAAAATAAATAAATTTTAAAAAAACCAAATATGCGAAAGAACCAAAAATACGTATGTTAAACTCTAAGCATTTATTTCTGGGTCATAAGATGACCATTCTGGAGCATTTAAATTTTTAAAAAATGTATTATAATAAAAGGCCATTAGTCCCCTTCGGCATATTTTCTCTCATCTTCAACACACACTGTTATTCTTGTTACCTTCTCAAGCAGTTCTGAAAGTCATCTTTCATGTCTTTATGAGGCATAATCAAGAAATGTAGTGACTGTCGCTGCCAGGTGCCATCCTGTGAAAAGGCAGGCTTCTAGAAAGTATCACATTGTATTCTTAGCCACCTTGATTCACCAGATCTGGCACCATGCTAGTTCTAGTTGTTCCCCAAAGTGAAAATGACCATGAGAGGGAAACATATTGAATTGATTCAGGACATAAAGATAGACACAGCAGCTCAACTAAAGGCATTTATATAAGGGCTTCCAGGGCTTTTGGATATAGCTTAAGTGTCTTCCTGGCAACCAGGGTCCCAAGTTCAATCACTGGTACCGAAAAACAAAGTATTTTTTAGTTTATTGGATATGGAAAAATAGGTTTGTCATCCTAATTTAAGTTCATTATCTCTTTTCCAGCAGTTACTTTTTTTTCTCTTTTGTACAGTAGTAGAAAAGGAAATACAAGCAAGCATAGACCAAGTATTCGGCCGTCTAGAACGCCTGGAGATTTTGTCTAGCAAGGAGCCTCCTAATAAAAGACAGAACGCCAAACTGTGAGTGCTGCCTTCTGACGTGGCTCGATTTCCCAGGTCTGTCAAGCCAAGACTTCCCCCAGGGGAAGCCATAGAATGTTTCCAGAGTCCATGTACATACTGAAAAACAGACGATGTAAAGATAAAAATCTCCAAAAGGGTACAGTTCTATGAGTGATACCCCTCAAAAGCAAAAGCCATAGACCTGTGATTCCTTCCTTCTTTGATGTTTTATTTTGAAATTTTGTTGCCATTTCTGTTTTGCTGACCAGACCCCTGGCTTCTTTTTTTTTATCTTTGGAAGGGGTCTACAGGGTGTTCAGGGACTCACTGCGTAGATAGGACTCATAGTGATCTGCTTGTTGATAGCCTCCCAAGAGCTGGGATTACAGATGTGCACCACCAAGCTTGTTCTCAGTTGCTATCTCAGTGTGCCCTGGGGGCTGGGCCGGCACAGCAGGCCCTGGGATTGAACCCTGGCCCCTGTGCCTGCTTTAATCTGCTGAGCTAATTGTCCCTCCCTGGTTGCTTAAAACCTAATGCTGGCATGCAGTATGACTTTGTTACTTGGGTCTCACTCTGTTCTTCCTGGGTTGAAATGAAGCTGTGCTTGTAAATTTTCACTTCAGTCAGTCTATTCATAATGAAATACTGATCTGATGTTTGATACTATACCATGAAATTAAAATGAAACCACCATCAACATCTCCACTTCCAGCCCCTGCTGCCATAGTTTTAGGAACTTCATTGGTACTTCACCTCAAAGATGCCCTTGGGCTTCTTCCAGGAGAGTGATATAATCCATAAAAGGTCAGGAAGGGGTCATTGAACCTGCTTCTTGTCACCTGTTCCCTATAATGCATCTAGAATCAGAGATCAGCACATATTTAAGTAAAGCTGCTGGGATCTTATGTGTTAGCACCTACTTTAGCCATAGTCTATGTCTTTACTTTTAATGTCACTAGTTCATATATTTTCTGGGTAAAAGGATAAGAAAAGATGTCGAGTATAAAGTCTAGCTGCTTCAGATTGTGCCTCCTTAGGTTCCTGGAATGTAATTTCTCTCTCCATCAATTACAGTCGAGTAGACCAATTAAAATATGATACCCAGCACCTGCAGACGGCTCTTAGAAATTTCCAGCATCGGCGCTATGCCAGGGAGCAGCAGGAGAGACAGCGAGAGGAGCTTCTGTCTCGAAACTTCACCACCAATGTAAGCCAGGCCAAGTGGGGTTGATGGGCATTTGACACATCATCAGGTCCGCTCAGGCAGCTGAGCATCTTCTTGGGGAGTTGGGGCATGATGTGAACAGACTGATGGGACCAGGCGGAATGACAAGGGCCTTTGTGTACTGCCACTGAGCAGACTGAGACAGGGCTTTTTTTTTCTACCAAGAAACCTGAAGAGGACATAGTTAAAATTAAAGGAATGGCAGGGGTGAAAATAACTTCATTTGCCTGTCCAGTGCAGAGAGGTGGAAGTTCACATGGTCGAAATGTTTTTGTGATCAGATAGAGACAGATGATTAGAACTGAGATCATTTGTAGGGAAGGCAGCATTTCAAAGCTGCCCCCAGGCAATTACTATTGTGCTGTGTATGTGTGTGGTTCCAGTGTCAAATGCATTAAAATGTTTGCCTCTGGTCTGGGCAGCAATTTGGAGGAATTTGTTAGCAGATGTTTAGTGTTAGATGACCTGCTTACCTTGAGTCTGTTTGAAGATTGCTTGTTCAGCTTTCATGTTCAATTTCTTGGAACCCATTGTCTCAGCCTTTTAGTACCAATAGGATCATTTGCCAAACATGGATGGCTATAGAATATATTGGCCTTTTTCTGTGTCCTGTGTAATATGTTCCACCAAACATGATTGTTTGGGAGTTTTTATATTTTCTTATTGAGGGGTTTAATCTACATAGTTTTTGATTCTCCAGAGTGAGCAATTAAGTCACAATGAGTAACAATTCAAAAATTTAGTACACTGTGAGATATAAAGTATGGCGCTGGGTATGATGGTGCATGCCTGTTATCCCAGTGCTTTGGTGTGTGTGTGTGTATAGTGCAAAGCCTTGCTGGGTTCATTCTCCAGTAAAAAAAAAAAAGGGTTTTTGATAGTTACTTTGTTACATTCAAATGTTTTTTAGGCCAGTGATGATGGCTTGGGATTATTTTATTTCTTGTCAGTCTCAAATGAGGCTATATCTATATATCTATATATCTGTATATCTTAGTAAACATTGAGTTGCCAAGTGAAATTTCTTCATGGTCATTTTATCCCAAGCTATGGTATATTTTTCTGAGAGATACTGGCCTGTTACCTATTAACTTTTTAAGTGGGAAAGTAAAAATTTGTTTATAAAGGATTCAATAATGGTTATCTTTTATTTCTTTTCAAATACTGGGATCTTTGGACCCACTTAGCTGTATGTAGAACACTAAGGTACTGAGAGAGTAGAAAGTCTGAGAAAATTAGTGAACATTACTTTAGTAAGATACTGCACTGTTAACAGGGATGATTAAAATCATTCTTGTACATGGAAATTAGGGATCAAGTGGTAAAAATGGCCTTGCTTGGTAGGAGTTTGTTCTCATCAGGAAGCAGGAGGAGACCACACTGTCACACTGTGACAACTTGCTCCTGTCCCGAGTTCACTTTCAGCATGAAATGAGAGCCCCCAGGACTGGGCTTGGTGTGTTTCTTGACACTGATTAACAGCAGGCAGTGCTCAGCATCGGACTTGTACCCTGCTGGGTCTGTTTTATCAGCTGTGTGATCTTGGACAAGTTAGTCCATCTTTCTGCCTTTCAGGTTTTTTTAATCTGTAAAATGGGAATAATTGAGTAACTGCCTCATAATAGAGTGAAGATTGAGTTGAGTGTTACGAGCTTGTGAAGTGGAAAGTACTTGCTTAGTACAGGTAGGCATCCTTCATCTGAAAGTCTAAAATCTAAAATGCTCCAACACCCAAACCAGTATTTTGAATTTTTATTTTTTTGTTCCTTTTTTTTTTTTTTTTTTTTTTTGCGGAACCAGGGATTGAACCCTTGTGCTTGCCAGGGAAGCGCTTATTCCACTGAGCCATCTCCCCGGCCCCTTGAATTTTTAAATCAAGGATACTCAATTGGTAAAATCTGCTAATGTAGTAGTCTCTTGCTATTTTGTAGTTCAACTTTCGCAGACTGTTTTGCAGGTTTTCAAAAAATAATAATCTAAATTATTTATTGTGTATTTTCTCTGTATCATGGGATTTTGAAGTAAATTATATGTGTAGTGTTTATGGTTTTAATGATTTTTGTCTAAAAAAATTTAAATTATATAACAGTATTAAAATGTTAATTCTAACATGTTAAAAGAATATTAAATTGAAATAAAAGAGTTTATGTATTTCTTTAGTGGATGAATATATACCATATTGTATACTGTACACATGTTAAAATTACATAGATTTACAAATTTAGAAAATGGTTAACAAATGTTTTTAAAACAGTGGGAAAGGTTTATAAGAGCATGGGAAGGGTTTATAAAGCCTTAATATATATCTTAGCATATATGTACATATATATATTAAACATAATTTTGCTGATTTCACTTATTGCGGGGGTTTCTGGAATATAACCTCCGTGATAAGTGAGAGGCCACTATATTCCAAAATCTGAACTTCTCTGAAACCTGAGATGCTTTTTAGCTGCAAGTATTTCAGATAAGGCATATTCAACCTGTCCCCCACATTCCCTTTTGCTTCTTAGCAAACATTTCTTGCTTGTTAAGAAGTATATTCCCATTGTGAACATGATGGGTCCTTCAGTAGAAAACTTGATTGCTTTGATCTTTAGTCTCAGTCTAATCAGAGGGATAAGTTGTAGATAAAACAGTGAAAAAGTACAGCAAGCACTTAATACTCCACTAAGGGGAAGCCAAGTAGAGGAACATTTGGAACAGTTACCTTAGTGACTGATTATAGAGAAAGATTTTAGGAAAAAAAGAATGAAATCCTGAAGGTATAGTTTTTCTTAAATGAGAAATGATACAGAGGCAGAAATTAATGCTATTAGTGTAGTAGAACTCATTTGGAGAGTGACAGTTCTGACTTCTATATCAATGAAGACTTCCTCACACCACTGCTTTGCCTTTTCTTCCATGTTATGTTCTCTGACTCTTGTATCATTCCATCTGGCTATTTCGGCTTGGCCTGGACCAAAAGGCTGAGTAGTCAGATATGGTGGGACCCCAGGAGCTGCTTAGGAGGCCAAGTTAATGAAGTGCCTGTGTTCCTTCCCCAGGACTCTGACACCACCATACCAATGGAAGAATCACTGCAATTTAACTCCTCCCTCCACAACATACACCACGGCATGGATGACCTCATTGGAGGCGGGCACAGTATCCTGGAGTCACTGAGGGCCCAGAGGCTGACTTTGAAGGTGTGGTCCCTGCTAGGGAACAGGGAGAAAGCCTCTTGTTTTAGTCTCACCCAGCAGTTTGGAACCTGCTTTCTATTTTGTGTCCCCGAATTTTGATGAGACAGCCTTTAATTTGTGATCCTTCCTGTTGGAGATGAACTTTTGTAAGCCCCAGAGTAATCAAATTTCCTTTGCCACTGCTTGAAACAAGCTGTCAAGTGGCCTTTCTTAGTATCAAGTCTTTCCCTGGGTACTGCACTTCATAGGAACCAGTAAAAACATGAGCTTTGTCTTAGTTTTTGTTGGATCCGTTGAGCCAGTCAGTTTTATAAGAATTGTACATTTCTGAACAGTTGCATAGGCTGAGAAGTTTTATAGCATCTGCTTTTATAATGTACATAGTTTCAGTCTAGGTGATTTTTTTCCTTAGGGTCCCAGCTGTGAGATACAACCTTACAACCAGGACCTTTTGTACTTGAGTCCTGAGTCCCCATGGGATCTCAGGGCTGTCTTAACACAGCAGTAGATAACTTGCAGAGCACATAATGGTGGTTTCCAGTGACTCTTTTCTCTTGAGCTGCAGGTATTCCCAGAAGTCCTTACCCATTGCCATTACTAAAACTTTGACCCCCTGGGAGTGGTTTACAGAAACATACAGACTGATGTCACAGCCTCAGCCCTTTTCCTGAATCAGACCTGGTGGCAAATGGGGTGTGGGCTCTGCCTTTTATCAGGGTGTGGGCCCCTGGTGTGAAGCACTTCTAGCCACTGAGCTGTGAGAAATAGTCACTTAGAAACATGAGCTTTATCTTAGTTTTTGTTGGATCCGTTGAGCCAGTCCGTTTCATAAGAATTGTACAGTTCTGAACAGCCCCTGCCATCTTTACCAGGGAGAGGGTCAGGCAAGCTGTGGTGGCTCTGACTTCTGCTGACAGCTGCAGATTTCAGATGGCCTCTTTCAGAACAACCACCTGCAGTAAACAGATAACACGTTGACTGGCCTGCCCTTTCTCTAAATACTTTCTGTTCTCCTTTTCCATATCTCAGCAAATGGGTCACATTTTTAGGGCAAGGCTGCATGTTACACCAAAGAACAGCAGTCAGAGTTAGAGCTTTTGCTAAAGCAGATGTTCACTGCCTGCTGAAGTCTGGCATCATGTACCTTCTGCCATAGATTCAGTGCTTGGAAGCCTGTCTCTGTGGTTGTGGGTTGAGCCTTGAGGTTTCTTGGTTACCCCGTGAGGGAAATTTTCTGCCTAAACAATTTGAAAGGAATCCAGGAGAGAGCATGAAAGAAGTAGGCTGAAGTACCTTGATTTGGACTAATTTGTGGTTAAAAAATAGATACACTTTTTGAAATTTAATGGCCACTTCACATGAAGCCTGATCTTTGAACCTGATTTGATGAAATAATTGTGTTCAGAGCTAGGCAAGGTTGATAGTAAGTCTCATTTTTATTGTCGTGAAAAACATCTTTTTGGTTTCTTATGATGAGTTTGACTTGTGATATCTACACACACACACTCACATATCCCTCACACTTTTTTGTTTGCTGGATATGGAACCCAAGGTCTTGGGAATGCTAGGCAAGTGGTCTGCCACTGAGCCACATCCTAGCCCTTGGTAAAGGTTATTGATCCTTGTCTGGGCAGAATGTTGGTTCTGAATCCTTGTGCATTATACTTTTTGTTCCTCTTGCTTCCCTGGCCTCTTCTCTTTTACTCATTAATGTGTGTTTATTAAGAAAACAAATGTGGGACCATAGGCCATATCCATCTGTTTAAGTATAATGGATTTTGTCTGCTCCATATTTACTTATTATTTAATTATTTTTTAATTTTTTTTTATTTTTAGGGAAGGGGTAATGTTTAATTTCTTCTAAAAGAAATTAAGGATTCAATCCCCATCACCACATGCCCTACTGGTCCTGCCCCCATGCACCCTGAGCCATCCATCAAGTCCGGGCATGGTGGCAAATACCTGTAATCCCAGGGCTAGGGAGGCTGAAAACAGGAGGATCACTGCGAGTCTGAACTGTGTAGTGAGACCCTGTACAAATACATTAAAGAGAGAGAGACAGACAGACAGACAGACATAAATAAATAAATAAATAAAAGTAAGGAGTAAGGAAGGAAAGGCTGGATGATTTGTGCTGTTGGTTTGAGAATAAAATATTCTTGTTAAGGGCAAGTAACATTCATGTAAAGGCCTTTAGGTCATTGTGCTTGTCACTTTCTGTCTTTCCATTTTTTTCCCCACTTGAAATCCTCAGAAATACAGACTTTTTTTTTGTATTTTAGGGAAGGGTCTACAGGTGTTCAGGGTCTCAATACTAGATCGGACTCGTAGTGATCTGCCTGTTTACAGCCTCCCAAGAGCTGGGATTACAGGCATGCACCACCATGCCTAGTCTCAATTGCTGTCTCAGCACACCCCTGGGGTAGGGCCAACAAGCTGAGGGATCAAACCCCCAGTCCCTGGGCCTGCTTGCAGGTGCTTTAATCCACTGAGCTATTTGGCTGGCCCTAAATTTTTAAATTTAAATTTATTTTCATTTTTATGTATTTGGTATAGGGCCTTGCTACACAGCTCAGATTTGTAGTGATCCTCTTGTTTTTAGCCTCCCAGCACTGAGATTACAGGTGTCTGCTACCATGCTGGTCTCTGTTGGCTCAGCACGCCTGGGAGCAGGGCCAGCGTGTCCTGTGGTACCAGGAACCAAACCCTGGTCCTTGGGCTTGCCTAAGCAGGTGCTCAGTCCACTGAGCTATCTTGCTGACCCTTTAAATTTGTTTATTCAAGTCTAATTTATATACAATGAAGTGTTTGGATCTTATTTGTGTATTTCGCTGAATTTTCACACAAAGCATTTAGTTGTTTAACTCCTTTCAAATGACAGACATTTGCACTGCTTCTGAAAGATCCATTTGCTCCTTCCTAGTCATGCAGTCCATCTCCCCAGGAAACCACTTCTCCCTCTAAATCACTTTGCCTGCTATTGAACCTTACATGACTGTATTCATTGTAGTATTTTCTCTGTCACTTCTGATTATTTATACGTATTTGGTACAGGGTCTCACTATGCAGGTCAGACTTGGTGTGATCCTCCTGTTTTCAGCCTCCCTAGCACTGGGATTACAGGTGTGCGCCACCATACCCAGGCTCAGTCACCAGCTCAGCTTGCCCAGTGGGCGGGGCTGGCGGGGCATGTGGTACTGGGGATTGAACCCTGGTTCTTTCCACTTGCCTAAGCAGTGCTTAGTCCACTGAGTATCTTGCTGGCCTTCTGACATTTTTAAGGTTCATTCATGTTGGTTATATGTGGTGATTAGGTTCTTTTTATTGCCAAGTATTCCATTGTGTGGATATATCGTAATTTGTATATCTGTTTTTTGGTTGATAAATGTTTACATTGTTTCCAGTTTTTAGATATCATGCTTTTTTTAAGCTTTATTATAGTTTCAGCTTTTATGTTTAATTTTGTGATCCATCTCAAATTAATTTTTATATGTAATATGAAAGGGTGCAGTTTTACACTGTACATCAAATATACATGTATCTTTAATGTATATATGATAATTTATTACATAGGTAGTGGTTTCAGCACTCTCTGGAAAAAACGTTTTTTCTTTTTCCTTTGCATTGTGGTGGTACCTTGATCAAAAACCAACTGACCATAGGAGAGTGAGTTGGCTTCTGGCAGATGTTGCTTTCTGTATGCCGAAGAACAAGAGATAGCAAAGCCTCAGTTTATCTTGACCTTTACCCATCTTTGGCCAGGTAGGTTGATCTTTGTTTTCTTTCTTCTTGTCCACCCCAGGGGACTCAGAAGAAGATCCTTGACATTGCCAACACGCTGGGCCTGTCCAACACAGTGATGCGCCTCATTGAGAAGCGGGCTTTCCAGGACAAGTACTTGATGATTGGCGGGATGCTCCTCACCTGTGTGGTCATGGTCCTTGTGGTTCAGTACCTGACATGAGCCAGCTGTGCCCAGGAGCTGGATAACATTCCCACTGCGTGAGAGCTTGTGAGTGCATGTGTGCGTGAGAGAGGAGGGCTGTCCAGAGGCCGCCTTTGAAATGTATGCCCAACTTAACTGTGAACACAACTCAGGAATAATTGTGATCCAGTTTCAGACCTGTTTTCTGTGACATCTTAACAGGGGGAGCTAGTTCCATCAAAATATGTGGTCCTTAGGAAATGAAAAAAATCTGTTTTCTCTCTCACTGAGGGAAGGGATGACTTTGGTTGCTTTGGCCACACAACTGTGTGTCCACACTGTGGAAGGCTGCTACAGTGAGCCTTGTATCGGGGACTGACCACACTCATGAAAAGGAGAGGAAAGAAACCTTGTTTCCTTGTACTCATTATAGGTTAATTCATATGCTCTTTTGCTTCCTGCCATCCTCTCCACCCTTCCTACCCCCAAAATGACATGCAGGTGACTAACTGCTGACACTTGTCATTCTTCCCTGGAGGCAGCTATCCAGGGGAAGCAAAGGCAGGGAAACTATTGCTGATAGCATGGAAGTTTTTCTACACTACAGTTTTTGGGTGTATATCCTTCCTAAAGTGAGGCCAGAGTAGTTTCCTGGGAGTGCTCAGTCTGGAGACAAAAGGCTGAGCTGATTTTTTTTTTTTTCCCAGTTAGTAAAATGATTGAGTCTTGGGTTTATTTTATTTTATTTTTATTTTTAGGGAAGGGACTACAGAGTGTTCAGGGTCTCACTACTAGGTCAGACTTACAGTGATCTGCCTGTTTACAGCATCCCAAGAGCTGGGATTATAGGCGCACCAGCATCGCCCTTTCAGCACACCCCAGGGGTGGGGCCTGCATAGCAGGCCTAGGGATTTAACCTCTGAGTCTTGGGTTTAGATGCTGATTGGCACCTACTATACCCAGGCTTTGGTGGACTTTTGCTCCTTAGAAAGTAGCAATGAGCAGAGACAGGTTAGTGATGTCAGTTAAAATCTCATCTGTAATTCGAACAGATCTAATTCTTATCTCTTCTGTCACTTGAAATATATTAGCAGCTGCCAGCCAAGCCCCTATTCTGCCCAGCCAAAGTAGGGCACCCTGAAGATGTTCCTGGTGTGCATGTCCTTATGAGAATGTTTTCAGGGATCAAGAGCTTGTTCACTTTCTGCTCAGCCCTGAGTTAAGGCTAAATCAGTAGTACCTGGTGTATTGCAGTGTTTAGTACAAGGTCATTCCATTTTAAAGTTCATCAGATGTGGTCAATGAAAGTACTAGTAAGACCTGATTATCTGTTCATTTGTCAGGGCCAAGCCTGCCCTACTGTACTTAGGAATATTAGACTCATGGCAAGACAAAAGGACACTCAGTTTCCTAGAACTGAAAACCTAGTCAGTATTAACCTTAACCTTTGATTGTCTTGCCTCGTGTACTTCCCTTTTGGCTTGAATTTTCTTCTTCTTTGTATATGTAGTTGTATTCTCTCTTCCTTACCTGTTCCTGTACCAGTATTGGTCTTTTCAGGCACATCTGTGGCATAGTTACCCTTTTGGTAGATTTTCTTAATTCACACATTTTTAACATGAGTCTGCTAGGTAGTAATCTCACACCTCTGGTCAGGTAGAGTATCTGTCACTCCTATTTGGGACCAAACAAGAGCCTTAGATTTTCTAGAAAGGAAGAATCTGATCCTCTTTTAAAAAGATTGACAATCCTACAGAATGAAAGCAGTGCTCTAGAGAGGGGACAGAGGGATTACAACACCTTCAAAATGGAATCTGACTTTGAAGAAGACACACCGTTTGAAGTTTTCATTTCACGTAACAGGTCTTAGCTGTAAAATGGATTTTTAGACTGCAAAGACTTGGCCTGTTCCCTGGAAACTTACAGATCATGCCAGACAACACACTTTGGAGAAAGGTGTACAAGTCATAGCTGAGACACTGGACTTGAACTCTGGGAGTCACATCTCCTTCAGTCATCTGCCCTTTGGCTGATAGGACATCTTTTGGTAGCATGTACCAGTTTATGTTCCCATACTTGCTTTTATAGTGATCAGTTGCCCTTGAACTTTCATGCTGCCTCTTCAAAGCCAGTTCACCTTACTTTGGAATAAAATTTGTGGAGTTGATGTGAGTCCTTACTGCCTACAGCTAGGAGACAAAAGCCAGTGCATCTGGAGACCTAGGGACACTAAGACAGTTGTTGCATATTTCTCCTCCCTTTGCACACTGACTATTGCCTGCAACTAGTTTCAGAGCAGGGAAGGGTCTGAGGCCAGGGGAGGAGTGCCCTCTTGTGGAGATGGAGTGAGTTCTTAGGTGGAGCTGGCTGGAAACTTCAGGTAGTCTCTGCAACATGGTGTAAGAGTTGGCATCCTTGTGGTTTGAAACAGATGGGCTGTGAGGAGCAACCTGGAATGTGTATTGTGGGGATGTGTTATTACAGGTGCGTCCACTTTAAGAAAAGCCAAACTTAAGACTAAGAGAGTAATTTTATAGAAAGTCACTGCTGAATTTTTTCCTAAAGACCCTTGATCTTTTGAAGTTAAATAGATTTGATTTGAAAATTTGGATTTGCATTTGTTTTTGGAACATCAGCTGAATAAAGTTGGGGTTTATTTTCTTTAAAAAATTAATATTTTGTAAAAGCAGTATTCATTGTTATTACTAATGACCCCTTTGGTGTGTTTTCAGACCAGAGACTCTCAAGCATTAGCTGTCTCAGAGGCAGCTGGGAAACTTTAAAATACAGATTTCCTCACTTTGTACCTCAGGCAGGTCTCAAACTTGCTATGATATTCCTGCCTCAGCCTTCTGAGTGCTAAGATTACAGGTGTGTGTCACCATGCCAGGCTGTTCACTGTTCTTAAGACCCAGACCCTTATGCTTTCAAACTAGAAATCAGGCAAAGTTACTTGCCTGCATCTCTATTAATCACCGACCCTCTGAAATATAATATGTCGCTCATTCCCACTGTATAGACAGAGTAAGGTGCTTTAGTGAATACCTGAAGCCCCCACAGGGAGTCCCAAGAAGCTGGCTTCTCTTCTGGCCAGCCATTGCCCAAGCTCTGCAGCAACCTGTGCTAGGATTTCCTTTGGAGAACCTGATGGGGTGGGGTCAGGCAGAGGTGGGGAAGGTATGCTGAGGAGCATGGCTTGCCCGCACAAGTTGTAGAGCTAGCTGTAAAGCATTCAGACTTCACATGGCCAGTTCTTGGTTCTAAAATACTCCACGAGTTGATGGGGTAAAATGGGAGGGCATTTGTGAAAATAGTCCCAAGATTGGAAGGACTACCTAAGCCTTGCCATTAGAGGGCAGCATACTCCTGTCTGTGGTTGGTCTGTCTGGTCCCTTAGACATCCAGTGTTTAGAGAAAGTGTAAGCAAGGGTATGTTTTGTTGGATTTCTTTTAGATTCCAAATTCTTGCTGACTCTGGGCTGCTATTGAACATGGCCAAAACTGACTTCCAAAATCTCAGAGAGTTCTGATTTCTCAAAGTATGGTAGTCATCCCTCCTGCCCCTTCTGTGTCATTTGTTTCATGTTTTCATGTTTCATGGGAACTTTCTGGGATGTTGCACCTTGATTGCTTGGCCTAGAACATGCCATAATCTTGCATAGCTGCACCTTTGCATAGGATGTTTTCTCTGGCTATGTCATAGGCAACCCCACCCCCATCCTATGTCACCTTCAAGAAATATGTCTCTCCAGTGTATCTCTAGCCCTACTTTTCCTGAGAGAATGGTAGTACCTCCCTTGCTCTGCCGGAATCTTTCGTATACCCTGCCCATAACAAGAGTTCAGGAGCTGTTCGATCAGTAGTAGCCTGCAAGACGCCCAGGCCATGCAGCTAGCAGAGATGCATGCCAGTGGCCAGTGAAACTGTGCCCAGGCCCAAGGGAAGAGGAAAGTTCCAAGTCGCTGATAACTCAGCATGTGCTCAGGCCCTCAATGCAGCAGTAAGGTAATGGGAGCATGTAGGGGACTCCTTAGGGAAAATTTGTCAGCCAGGCCTAGGGAGAAGTCAGCAGAGTGACCATCTTGTCTTGGTTTTAAAAACTAAAAGATGAAATCTTGGCAGCCCCTGTAGTCTAGAATAAATGTGATAGTTCGCCACCTTAAGCTAAAGGTTAAGGCAGTTACAGCTAATGCAGAGCACTCAGGCATAGGGGCCTGTTACCTGGGAGGCTAGCTCTTGACCCAGTCAATCCATTGATGTCTTGTGGCCCTTCATGAGGTGCCTGTCCATGGACATTCCTAGAGAGCTGGCAGAGGTTTGACCAGGCCCAGGAGGGAAGGCGTCCAGCCTCAGGAGAATGGGCCACAGTGCAGTGCATCAACCTTTGTGTGTTCACAGAACCCTGCATGTGCCCATTACTGAGTCAGCTGTTGGGGCAGATATCCACACTGTATTTGGTAGTGATTACAGAGCTCAAGTTGGCACTAAAAACCCCAAAACCCAGGAGATAGAGCCTGACTTCAAGATGCAGCCCTATTGGTGGCAGCTATGTAGCATATACCCCTCAACCTTAGCTTTCTTCTTAGAACTGGGTAACATCTGTTCTATGTCCCTTCCTAGGTGGTCATGAGGACCACATATCCTTATGTTTGTGGCAAACTCCAGAGGTCTGAAGCAGTGAAATCTTCCTGGGAATACCTGGATTTTACAGTATCCTGATTTGAGGTCTCCACCTGTGAAGTTCTGAGCTGCCTAATTTGGGAAAGGGCCTGGGCTTCAGAATTTTTTTTCACTTTTCAGGGAATCTCCTGTTTCAAGTGCCTTCCAGGTATGACAGACTGTTATTTCTATTTAGCTGGAGACTGGCCCTGTTGTGAAAATGTCAGAGGACAGAGTCATACAAGAGTTTCCAAGGTTGAGGGGGAACATAGCCCAAATAAGGACTTGACTGGGAGGGAGGTGATGGCTGCTGGCTTTGGTTAGAGAGGAAGAATGGGAGAAACAGGAAGGGTGACCTGTAAACTGCTGGAGGCAGTGGTAAAGTTGATGAGAGAGTTCACAGCTGCATCCTCCAAGAGGCTCACAGCTTCTGAACCCCCACAGCCTGTGGAAGACACAGTTGATACCTAGAGGCCTGAGAACTCTTGAAATGAGCTACATCTGCTGGGGGTAACTTACTAGGGATAGACAGGCACAGGCTGCAGAAAACAAGCATCTCTACTGTCTTTCCCCATCCACCTAGGCAATAAGTGCTGCTTGGGCAGGGTCCACCCTCTGGCTCTGCTCACTT